GTTGTGAGGTATATTACTATTTGAAGTATGTTAACGATACGCGCGAAAAGGCAGACGATACGGGCCGAACGGGTGACGCGGCGCCGACCTCATGACGAACTTGAGGGGGGGATTTTAACGTCCGAGATCACACAGTAGATCACACTCTCGGGAAAGATTACTTGTCCTATCACCAAACGGGGCTGGAATCGTAACGGGAGACACGCGGAAAATCCTCTCTGTTCGAAGTCGCATCGCGCCGCTTCGCTCGCGAATGCCCGGCATGGAGAGACGAAGTTGGAAAACGTGCGCTCACCTAAATCTCGGGATCCCGCCGTGGGACGAAAATTAGTGGTAAATGCGAGCGTGTAACGTGTATACGCGTATGCCGCGAATGTAAATTTGCTTTGACGTTGTTGACCGTTGCGTGTGAGTTCGTTACTAGTCCGACAGCGCGATTGCTTTATAATTCCGCAACCGTAATTGATATGGCTGCGTCGAAAACCGGCCCGAGTCGATTTCATTCCGATCAAGTGTTGAGTTCTCAAATTTTATTTGGAGAAATGAAAGAAAAGAGTCGTAAATGTCATTGTTCGTGCAGTGAGACGTGAATTAGACAATACAAAAATAATCGCTCGTATTTTAGAAAAGTTTTAACTTAATGCTAATCTGTTCGTCTTTTTTTTTCTTTTAGGCTTCTCTTAATAGCACTGAATATATGTTGCATTTTTATAATCATAATCAAAGTGCTTGTTTGAATAATATACATGAATCGCATAGAATTTATTAAATATTTTATTAAAATGTATGCCACAACATTTACGTCACTTTAGATTTAGCGTATAAAAATTTTTTTACATGTAGAAAATTGCATTAAATTTTGATTATGTATGAAAAATTTGCGATTATACGGAAAAAAATGAAATAAAGTAATTAAAAAATGCGAGCGATGAAAGTCAATGGGAAAAAAAAAATGCGTTTTCGCGCAGCGCGCGATTTCCTGTAAATTGTTATTGTTAATTATTGTCACCTGTCGTGTGATTAAGACGAATTAGAACGCCAAAGGAGGCCGAGCGCCTGAATCTAGCGAATTGTTCCGCGAGCGCACGTTTTCCTTGCGTAAAGACGAACGCGAACGTTACCGTTTCGTCTCCGAAAAAGAAGAAGCGTACAACTGGCATTACATTATACGCGGAGCCTGGTCCGAGCGCGTGGCGCCGACGACCGTGGAATCGATGTGGCGAGGAGTGTCGCGTGGCGCGCCGTCCCCGCGTTCCCTTGGAGACCGTTCCGAGGAAACGCAGACGCCTCTGTCGGCTCGACCAGACTCGGCGGAAGAAACATGAGACTGATATAAACCAGTATTCGTGCGAGAAATTGCAAATTGCGAGAAATTGCGCGGCGTAGCCTTAATAAGAAAGATTAATTAGGTTTACTCGGCGACCGGTGGCGCGGTCCCGCGAAAAAAAAAAATCATATTCAATTGGCTGTACAAGCGAAAAGGGGGGAATAAGTAGGAAAAGGGGAAAAAAAAGAAATACCTCTCGTCGAGGGTTGACGCGCGTCGGATGGATCGAGATGTCGTCGATCGCGACGTCGTAGACGTCGTCCGCCCTCGCACGGCGATGTATCTAGTGAGAGTATAATGTTATTAGGTAAACTTAAGCGTACTTTAAAAGCGAAGTGCGGAAAGGAGAACGGAACGCAATGCCAGTTGTAGAACGGGATGGGTTGGATAAGGGGGAAGGGGAGGGGGAATATCAATGCGAGAAGACCGTGTTCCGACGGCGCAAGACACTCGTCCCCAGTGATAACAAAAGGGATATTCGCGGGAGGGAAAGATGGGACGAAAAGAAAAACGCGGGAAAAATCGAGATCGGGGTGGGACGGGGTGGAAAAGCGAAACGCTAGACAAACAACGGCCATGGGACACGAAAAAAGCGATATATATATATATAAGCGATACATACATGTATATAATATACGTGCGTATGTATATATTATATATATGCGTGTGTTTATGTATGTATATTTTATTAAATGGCGTGAACGCGTATTTAACTTTCGGTACGGGATTTTCGTTCTTTTATTTCCCCCCCCCTTTTTACATTGTTTGTTTTTTCGTTTATCATTCTTCGCGGTACCGTTTTTTCGGGGACACCCTGTCAACGCGTTCCACGAGATACGATTCGAGTGTACACACTCGCACACACGCAATGCTGTTCATGTGTATACGCGATAGACTATTTCGGACTACGGATGCGGGGGACAAAAGGGAAATAGAGAAACGACAGCTTTACCGATAGCGGGACAGTAGTTATTTGCAACACGTGCACACACACGTATGACACACACGCATACACATGTAAAGCGATCCAAGCGATACACACAAAAAAAAATTGTATGAATATAACGTTTGCAGTTAGGTGGGACCAAAAACGACTTTATATCTCTATGTGCATATCCAAGCAACGTGTAATTTAATTAATGAATTAATTAATTATCCATTATTAATGACTAGGTAAAGTAAAAGATCCATTGATAGCAATCGAGAACGATGACGAATGATTAACGAGTAATTAGTCTATTAAGTTTGTTTATTGATACATTATTCTATGATATAATTATTATTATTATTATTATTATTATTAACTTTATTGCCTTTATTATTATTATTTTATTATTACATTGATTAAAATGACGATGATAATATTATTTAAACAATGTTTTAAGGCGATTATCTAGATATCGAGTAGAGAACAGTACGTATCTATAATTATTAATTATTTTTAATTATTATTATATTCTTATTATTATTATATTATTATTATTATGAGACATTTTGTTGTATTATTTTCAATAAAATCGATTGAAAAATATTCAGTTTATCAATTGGTTAATTCTCGCTTCTCCGCATGTATCGTGCAACTACATGTTTCCAATTTCTTTCTCTTTGCGATCTTAATGATGCAATTGCGTTTAAATCTGATACTAAAGTCAAAAGTAATTTTTAAGTAAGATAACGAAAGAAATTGATGCATCTTATTGTTCATACACGGGGAAGCGCGCCTTATCCCAAAGTCCGTTGCGATCTCAAAAGAACATTGTTTGCGATTGCGAAAGTTTTCTAAAATTAATAGAGGCTTCTAAATTTAACAGAGGTAAAATATTGTTGTGAATTTTTTCGTTGACTTAGATGTTCTTTTTTATAATTAAGGCGTCCTTGAGGTGTTCTCTAGAAAGTAATTGATTACATATAATATATACATGACTGAGAAAATATATTAATGTTTGTAATAAGTAACAGAAGAAATGAGGGTTTGTCCGGTGTAGTCATAATTGACAAGTCGCCGAGAAGCGGCATATTGCAGATTAAAAGGTACAAATTGTACATTTTAATTAAAAACACTATTTTTCACGTTACGATAATTAAGATCTTTTAAATTACTTTTATTAACATCCGTGTATGTGTGTGTCCGTTCTTCGGAATATTGCACTTATTTGTCAAAATAACTTGCAATATTCTACAGAAACGGGGGATTCCGCGAGATCTCTAATTCTCTTAGGAAACTTGACGCGCAGTGAACGAGGTCATGATATTTGCGATCGTAACTGCCACCATCCTTTTGTATGTACTTATACTTTCTTTCCCTTATTTTTTCTTTTTTACTTTTATTCGGCGTTAATTAATTCCATTAACCGCGTCTGTATACGATTATCTCTCCGCTACCCTCCGACCACCCAATCCTTCAAATCCCTCCTCTTCGTACCTCTCTATCCCTCTTACTCTCACGTGTCTCCGGATAATTTTTCGTGAACTCGGAAAGAGCGGGGAGGGGAAGACGGAATAAAACCAAAAAGTGAAAGAAAAAAAAAACGGGGAATGCGAGGTAAAACGGGGGTAGAATGATCTAACAAAGAGAAAGTCAGAGAGCGTATTATTAATGGGACAAAAGGGAAAATAGGAGAACCAAATGACGGAAGAGAAGAAGAAGCCACAGAACAATAGACAAATGAGAAAAAAAAAATAGTTGTAAAAGCCACACACGTCGTAAGAAACGCGTACACAAGTACACACATACACATAGACACAAAAAAGGAAACACAAATGTACTAAGTAAGTTCATACTGCGTATTGCCTTTCTGACTTCGGTGTGAAAATATATAAATAAAAAAAAGTCAGTCGAGCCGGGGCACGCGTATGTTCGCGCATACATATTATATATTATAGTTATTAGCGTTCGACGAGAGAGACGAGGACTAGCTGCTTCCGCTTCTTCCTGCCAGCCTACATTGTATATCTTCCCCTTTCCCTTACATTCGCTTCGCGGCAATTCGAGCCCTTTCGGTGAGAACTCTTCAACGGATATAAAAGAGGAACGCTTTACAAGAGAAGATCGGTGACTTCCGTCTTACTTACGTCCGATCGAAGTCGCGTCACTTTCCTTTCTCTTATTTATACGAGTTCCCTCAAGATTTGTATTAAAGGAAGAAAAGAAACGCGCATTTTCCCCGTGTTTCCCGTGTTGATTAACCGCCCGGTCGTTCGTCCCCGGGATAGGCGGACGCGGAAGCAGCGGACGGCAGTATCCGTCGCGAAAACTTTTTTCACGGTTCCGTAAGAAAAAGTCCCACGCCGAAGTCCGCGCGTCCCCGCCGACTGTGTCTGTTTCATGTTTTTCAATATTTGTAATTTATCGATAAAATTATAAAAGGTATCGATATACATAACAGTCTAAAGTGTGCGCTACTCTACATAATAATATTATATATAAAAAGTATAAAAGTATACATTATATATATATTATATATATATACATATATATTATATATGAAAAGTATAATATATATATATTATACATACATTGGGATTGGTGAGAATATACGGTTTTTTCGCTTTGGAGTGTTATTTTCTGAAAATATTGAACAAAATATGGAAAAAAAATTAATAAAACCAATGAGTAAAAACAAAACAAAATGTGATTTTTTTTTATTCTCACCCGATGTACGACACGTCGTCAGCGACAGGCAATTCTCTGTTGGATTTTGCGATTGCATTCATATCGCGTGAGCGCACAAGTGTGAATATCTGATGCAAATAACTTTATATATGACGCGTAACATTTCGCTTTCAATTCACAATATATGAAATCGTCCGATACATTAGATTTTGAAAAAGATTCAGCATTCGAAGGAGAGCATAATGAATTCGTTAACAAGGATAACGAGGTTATTGTTTAACTATTTAATTATCTTTAATATTTAATCAATTATTTTATAATATTCAATTTTGATGTATTTAAATAGTACTTTGTTAATTTTTTAAAATTAATATACGAAGAAATTTAAACTGCTAATTTTAATTTGTAAATGATCATTAATTATTGCACGTGTTTTAAATCGAGATCAGACATTTAAATTATTATATTGACAATGTTACTATATTGTAATAATTTTTGTTCCATTTAATATTTATTGAAAGCACAGACGTTCGAAAAAATTATATATATTCCGACTCTCCCGAGCACTTTTAACAATCTCGTTGAGAAGACAGTGAAGATCGAAACGGAGAAACCGCGAGATGTTATTGAGTCAGTGAAATTTCAGATATAAAAATTAATTAAACTGTACAAAATCGGGAATTGTGAGATATTAAATATTTAATCGCTGCACAGATTGCTAGGTGATCTTTTGGGAGTTAAAGATTACAAAACTAACAAAGCTGCTTTCTGGTTTTTGGATATCATAGCTCTTCAAGTTATACGTTACAAAAATTGTCTAGATGATCATTACAGAAGTGTATTAATTAGCTGGCTGGCTGGCGAAATGAAATTAATTCGAGGTAATTTTATCGAATTGATATATGCTAAACAAAATGTTTTTTATATGTCGAGAGAATATTTAGAAAAAAATATAATATTTTTATATAAATAAATAAATCTGCCAAAATAAAAAGTTTAATATATTTAAATTATTACAAAATATATAAAATTAAAGAATTAAGAAAAATGTTATACATAGCATAATAAATTAGTAAAAATACATCTTTTAAAGATATAGAATATTTTCGTAGATAAGAAACTACTTCGCAAAGACTTTTTTAAGGAAATGAGATTATTATTTCTCTACGCTGCTGAAAAATTATCTAGTGGCGAGCGATTACCGCATTGGGAGTTACTCATGGATGCATATTCTGAAATTACAAAATTGTCACAAAATACTATCACTAATGCATCTGTCAACAGTAAAGCGGAATGTTTAATTACGAATAAATCATCTGAAATGGAATTAATAGCAGAAAATGATGAACATATGTCCCAAGAGAACAAACTTTCCTTTATCAGAAGAGATTTGAAAAATCATAACAATGAAAACAGGTAAATCAACGAAAATATAATTTTTTTTCTTGCCATAAGTAAGACACACACTTTACTTTACTTTATTGTGAGTGCCGTTTTCTTCTTAATCAAATAGAGAATAGAGATTCTTATTTCAGTGTAACAAATGATTTACAAGAGGAGACATTGAAGGATTTCAAAACTCCATTAACTACAAAGTATTCGCAAACAGATACATTCATAGATGCCATTGGATCTTCTAGTTTAATCAATCCAAGCGACGTCCTGGATGCAATTGTTGAAGCGACATACAATATGTACGTATAAGGATGTACAACATTATTATTTCGAATATTTCTTAATGTTTAAAAAAAGATTATACGTAATATAAAATCATCGCGCGTTATATTCTTTAAACAGGTATGCTAATGAATTGCGATACGCCCTTATATATGCAGTTTTTGTAAAACCGATACAGATACAGATCTTTCATATACCTTCTGATGCTTTTCGAATACCACGTCAAATTAAACTCGCGGATCCTCGAGGACCGTTTCACTTACAGCTTCGTGAACGGTTGGAAAAGGTTGCTAGTGAATCAATTAACAACGACAAAAAGTTTAAAGGTAAATGGCATAATAAAACAATTATGGATTTGATCATTTATATATGCTGCATATAGTGCGAATACATAGAATACACATACTAATTTTTATCTATTCACCATATTAATCTATGATTTACTCATGTTTATTTTATTATAATTATATTGATAAGCTTATTTTTTATCTTGTTATAGTTATATGTAGTGCTTTGTTTGCAACGATAATTGACATGATAATTGATATGATAATTTTTTGTTTTTCAGGAAAGAAAACAGCTGATAATACGAGAGAAAAGGAAATAATTAATGATTTAGATATTGAAATTCCTCCGACACCACGATCTTCGTTAAACGAGGAAGAAACATTAGCCAATTACCGTCGATTTATTTTACCACTGATAGAATCAAATGAAGCGATGCAGATATTTGAGATGCATGCGGGAAATATGTAATATGATAAATATAAACACAAGACTATTGAGAGAATATTTTATTTCGTACAGTCTAACAATTTAAAGTACAACGTTATTCCGTGATTATCGCCGTGCCCCATTCGCGACATTTGAATTTTTTCACTGTTTCAGAATTTAGCGAATGAATGTCCAATTTGACAAAATTACATGGATTTTCCAAGTTCTGTTGAAATTTTCCTAGTTGACCGTACTTGTTAGTGCCACAGCCCCAAAAGGAGCCGTCGTCTAAAGAAAAAGAAAACGAACTTTTACATTACCTTTCTTCTTAGGAAATATATAATCTTTATTAGAAGATTTATTTTACCTGTCAAGCACACAGAAAATGAATTTCCGCATTCAACTTTTTTAACATTAATTTCTATATTCTCTCCTCTGTCATTTTTAAAATCTACTAAAGTTGGTACGGCATGGACTTTCTTGTCTTTACTCTCAATTCCTAGTTCACCACTCGAATTCCATCCCCAAGTATAAAGATCACCCTATTATATTCAGTTTTATTTACTAAATCACGTAATGATTATTGCAATTAACTTAATCATTTCTATAAACTGACCTGATCAGTGACTACGGCGGTATGCCAACCACCCGCTGATATTTGTACTACTTTCAGACCTGCTAAGGCCTCAATGAGCTTTGGATTGTCACAATCTTCTAATTCGTTGTGCCCTAATTGACCACGTCTGTCGTAGGAATTATATTAATAATCATTTTACTTATTAAATTAAATAACAGAAAGTTTCTTAAGAATAATTTTGTGTAACATTACATACATTCCCATCCCCATTGAATATACATCGCCATTCTCTGCCAGTAAAATGGTATGGTCAAAACCACAGGCAAGATCAACAAACTTGACTCTCTTTGGCATTTCAACCAAAAGCGGAGCATTAAATACACGTCCTTAAAAAATAAAAGAAATTTTGTAAAGATTTATTTAATTAATGGTATATAATGCTAAAATAATTTTTTTTTAAATCCCACACCTAAATTAGTTAAAACTACTGTACATCCTGCTTGTGATAGTTTGATGATGTGTTCAGCTTGCATGTTATCATTGCTGGGAATAAAAGGCGTTACTTTTTGCCAAGAGTCATCATATATTTTATATTTCCAGATTTCATTGCGCGTGGACAAAATAACTACACTATTCCGACCAGGGATAGCCAATTTACAGCTGTACGAAAAAAATGAAATATTTATACAAAAAAACTAATGAATAAAAAATATTTAGTAAAAAAGAAAAAAAATCATATTTTGTATTTATTGCCTTCCTGATGACTCTTCTGGAATCTGCGTTAAACGTGGCCTGTTTTTGTCATCATCCTCACTAATTTTACCAGTAATATACAATTTTGTATCTTGCCATAGAAGAAAATAATTCCAGCCAATCTCAATGTCTGTTATTCCAGGAAATGAAATTTGAGTCAAGTTCGATATTGATGTGACAATTCCATCTTGATTGGAAAAGAGTGGGCTGGCATTTAAGCCAGTATAATACACCGGCATATCTCTGCAAATACTAGAAATATAATAGAATAATATAACGTCACTATTCTATCAATATAAATACTTAATTATTAGTTTTTTTTTCTCTCTACGAAAAATTATTATTCTCAAATTTAGATATTTCTTAAAATTATTTAATTATTAAATTATCTAAATTATCTGGAATCTAAATAATAAGTAATCTCTATATTATTAAGGCTTAATTAAAAAAGCAGTATGCTTTTTATTAAAAGGAATATAAATAAATCAAATATAGGTAAAACAGAAATGTATTTATTTATCTACTGTCGTTCGCACAGAAACAATAATACGGAGTATTCGCACGTGGTAACCGAACTGTAGCTTCTTCTAACGGTATCGGATGCGCCGATCAGCACGTAACATCAGTCAGAATATGCAGATGTCACCGTTTTCCTTGGATACCAGGAAAACAACATAACATTTTCATATAACGGTAATGGAAATCATCGAAATAACGCAGTAGTATCGTCAACGCGTCTCCGTTTCAGTACCTGAAATATATATCAACAAGAAAATGGTAAAAAAAATGTCACGTGAATTAAATGCAAATGCACAATATTATGCACTCTTTATTTTCCCCACCACCACCTTGACACACTCTTGAATGCATGAAGTAATCGAAACATAACCTTCGAAGATTTTATTGCAGTATACAAAACTTGTATCAAGCGCTTATACTGAACACTACATACGAGTTTAAAAACTGCAAAACATCTCAAAACATCTTAAATAAAATGAATATTTTTTATCACCTTTTATTATATAAAAATTCACTTACTGAGCACTGTTCGTATCTCTCTTGTATGTCATACACTCGAGATGACATTGCATATAAGTATAGCCGCTATACCTTAATCGTAATAACTCGTATACTTCCAACTAGGAAAAGGGAATTATTTTTTGGAATTGCACATACTGATTACGAACGAAATTCAAAGTATTTCTAGCTTCAATTTTTACTATACTACAATTAATTGATAAATATTAATTATATATAAATATTAATTGTAAATAATTGATATATATGATGTAATTGCAAAATCTGTTGACTTCTATAACATAATAAAATAATATAAACACTTTGAATAGTTTGAATAGTTTAAAAAAAACACAAAGTTATATTGTTTTGCATATTTAAAATAGATATTTTCAAAGTAAAATGTAAATTTTTACGATATTAAACTTTATAACATAATGCAATATAATAAACAATGTAATGTAGACAATATCTTTTCTTTTTTTAAATATTAATTTTATATTAATTTTTTATATACTAATCTAATTATATTATTATAATATTAAAAAATAATGCTGTATTTGTTAGCATTTAAATTATAAAGTTATTTCACTTTTTGCACAATAATACAATTAGTTGTAAATAATTGACATTAAAAATGTCAGGGTCTGCTTGCGATTTTACGGAAATTACGAACAAATCCTGATAAAGAGCTGCGATTGTTACTGTTGGGTCTGGATAATGCCGGAAAGACGACTATCTTGAAATCTTTGGCAAGTGAAGATATCACGCAGGTAAGTTTTCCTATTAATTTCCTAAATGATGATACGATTTATGGAAAATTGTGTTGCAAACAAATAAATGAATATAATATTAATTTAATATAACAATAAATCATGCGATATTTATGATGAATAAACTGATTTTTTTAAGGTGACTCCAACGCAAGGTTTTAATATAAAAAGTGTTCAGAGCGAGGGTTTTAAATTGAACGTTTGGGATATTGGTGGAGCTCGAAAAATTCGACCTTACTGGAGAAACTATTTCGAAAATACGGATGTACTTGTAAGTCTTTATTAGTTTATTAATTTCTTATATTTTCAAGTCTTAATGTATATAAAAATTATTAATTATATTTTTGTTACTATTTAATAATAGAATTTTAATTATATAATATTTATATAACATTGCACGCAAAATACATTAAATTATTTTTATTAAAAGTTTAATATGAAGAATCTAATAAAACAAAAATAATTTATATACTTTGTATTGTTATAATAACTGGAAAAATTATATATTTTAAAGCATATATGTATAAAAACACCCTAAAGAAAAAGTGTTCCATAAAACTGATTGCTGTATCAGTAACTAATAATACAGCAATCAGTTTTTTGGAACACTTTTTCTTAAGGGCAAGAATTATGTATTTTAAAAATTTTATAAATGCGATAATTATAGCGATACAATTTAAATAATGAGTATTTTAATGCTTTCTGTAATTGTCAATTTTATTTAACAAATATTATAAATTAATTAATGATTATCCAAAAAACGATCATTTCTGTATTTATTTAGAGACTCCTATTTTAAACATTTATTCAAATATTTTAATATCTTGTAATCTCTTTTATAAAAATTAAATTAAAATTTTGGAATGTTTGTTGGCAATAGATTTACGTCGTTGATAGCGCGGATATCAAAAGGCTGGAGGAAACGGGACAAGAATTATCAGAACTTCTACTGGAAGAAAAGTTACGAGGAGTGCCATTGTTAGTATATGCGAATAAACAAGACTTAGGTCACGCCGTGACGGCAGCTGAAATAGCGGAGGGTCTCGGTTTACACAATATCAAAGATCGTGACTGGCAAATACAATCGTGCATCGCTATTGAGGGCAAGGGCGTGAAAGTATGTAATAAATATTCTTTTGCTCCTAAATTCTAAAATGTGATACAATAATTATATGTATATATTTCAGTATATATACCGTGCAAAGAAATAAAAATTTAAATTTACATCAACATATAATTTTATATATAGAATTATATATATCTATTTATTTATATTATCACTTTTTAAAAGTAAGTTCTTCTCTACTTTCAGGAAGGTTTAGAGTGGGCATGCAAGAACATTAAAAGGAAATAATGAGAACGCCATGGAAGTCAAATAATACGATCGACGATTTATGCCACATTAGGGCGCACGAAAGGAAACAATTAAGGCTTACACCATCCCCATTGTACATTTTACACATGATCTTTATTTATCTTTTAACTACTATTTACAAAAAAATTACCGAAGACATTGTTATTTATGGATTCGGTATGAAGATACGAATGTATCGTACGCAGGTTTCAAAGCCGTCGTCATATCGAACATATCCAGTTGTCGGACTTCCGTCCATTTCGGACTCGAGAAGTTCTATTTTTCGCAGAAAAGAGAGTCTGTAATAGCGAGTCCATAAAATATATACTGCAATCTAACGTGCCTTCTTGCTGTTTTAACTTATATATATAGATTAGAATTTTTATAGATTTATCTAGTGAGAAATAATAAAGAGATGGAACAAGAGGAAAGACACGATATATAATTCATATAGATACAATTATTAATACAATATTTATACTTATATATATGTATAGAGATTTGAGCACCATGTGTTATTTTATTCGCGAAGAAAAATCGCGGAGACGCGCTAAAATATAAAGTGCAGCATGCACAACGGTATTCATGACTGCACTTCCTTTCATCTAAATCGATAATTATATATTATATAAGTATAATTAAAAGAAATTGTAATTTGAATAACGCTGTCGATTCAACAGCTCTTCATTAGAGATTGTAATCCGTATCATTCGGGCGTATTTACGATATTATTTTCGCACGATATTATTTGCGTGCCTATTTATTAAATACGCTCTTTTTGCGCAGTTTTGAGCAGTTTGCGTGACATTAATAATTAATATCAAATGTTTTAAAATTTCTCTTAATGACGTTTGAATCTGAAAGTAAATCTTTTGATATTTAACAAGTTCAATTTTATTCCGTGATTATTCCGTGATTGATGAATTATAGATTTATCACATTGGTAGCACACTAATTACTTTCGACAAATTTAAAATCGGAGAAACGAGTAAACGACTTTTTTGTGTTATTATCGATGATCTTACGCATCTATTATTTGACTTTAAGAAGAAAATATCGCATGACATTTCTATCATTTCAATTACACGAATGAGATCATTGCAGTTTGCAACAATTAAAGCATTACTCAGAAAAATAATACGTGCGTATGAAATGATAAAATTATGACACCAATTTATGTTAAAAATTAAATATGTAATTAAAGTGTCATTAAAAAGTATTGATTTCATTTTTTAATGTCATTAAGAGAAGTATTAAATTTAAAACGCAGTTTTTAAACGTAATTCTTAACTACAAATGTAATTATCCGTTAAATAAGTGGAAAAAATCGGAAGCCTTTCGCATACATCATATGCTTCTTATGAGAACCTTGGATTCTCAAGCACGCACTTATTTATAAATAATATAAAGGTCAGACCACATTAGAGATGTTTAGACATTCATAAGATAAGAACGTCTTCTATAGATCTTCACGGCATTGTCTGGTTTTTGTCTCTCTTTTATTAACATTTAATATTAATTGATATTTTATACCATTTTAATTTGTACACGTAAAGAAAATGAAAAGACACTCCTTAATAGTCTAGTCGCTTCTATCAAATCAGCGCAATCGTCAATGTAATTTTGTTAGGCGCATTTTATTTCGTACAATAAATACGACAGAATTATAGAATAGATAAGGACACGGCTTCGCGGGACGTCTTTCTAATCTTAGAGGCGACTTAGCAATCAATGTCTTTCGCAGATTACTAACGAGCTAAACTCAAAGTTCGCTATGAATGTTTTCCGTAGTCACTCTGATCTCCTCTTCGTGGAAAGCAGTGCAATCTGCTGGGTATTTGCTCTGAAAGCAAGACGAGAAAAAAAATTCAGATTAAGTCTTTTATCATTTATAATTCGGATAACACAAGAAACCAGTGGAACAAATATACATATTTTCATTAACAAATATCTTTGTAAGCTATCCACATAAATATCCTTCTATCCTTGTCTCATTTGTTTTAATTAAAGTTAATCACAAAAAATTTTATTATAATTTAAAATGACTTTTCGTTACTTCAGATCAAAATGCATTTTTTCTTTTGTTAATGTATATAGATTATAGTTTTACTCACGATGCATCCCTCTTGATCCATGATGGCTCCGTAGAGGGGCCAGAAATTAGTTCCTAACTTATTACTGACTGCCCAAGCCGCGGGGAAACTTGCTACCCTCAAGAGTGCACTGCGTACGCGTGCAAATACCTCGTTGCCGTCGTCCTCTCGTTGCAGACTCTTCTCATTTATGGTACATAAGATTTGACTAGCACATTGCGGCACCTTCGTCGCCCATTTGTATGCTCGATACGACTGGAAATAAATAATACCAATATTTATAAAAAATATTTATTTAAAAAATTATCAAAAATTTAATTAATATAAATTTAAGTGCGATACGTCTTTTTAGGATCTAGTAATTTTGAAAGACCATTTGCGGTACTATTAAAATTTTTAAATGAACTAAGTTTTAAGTAGCGCAAATTTTTATTTAAATCGTTTTTTTTTAATCTTAAGCAGTAAAAAAACTATGAAAAATGAGAGACTGCGTATTTTCATGCAATAATTTATCGTATAACAGAAATTATTTTTTTGTAACTGAAAGAGAAGTATTTACCTTGAGAATGGGACCGATGATATCATTGTTAATAATTTCGCTCAGTCTGTTGCTTAGCTCTCGTGCATTCACTCGGGACATAATGAATCCTTTTTCGGAGGCCAAGCTTACTAATTCCTGGAAATACGCTATCGCCGGCCTTACGTATTGCGAGCTGTCGATCTTCATGTTCAGGTACCTCTTCGCCATTCCGTTGGCCAATCTGAATGAGAAAGTTTACGTTGGCTGTTATACTTACATTCACAAAAACTGGTTGAATTAATTAATCAAACATTATTGTATTAACCTGGAGATACTCTCCACTGGTTTTGTGGCATCGAACATCATTGATTTTGGGAATCCCTGAGATTTTAGGAAGCTATTACCGACGAATTGCGCAGTCGTGAGGTAACGTTGCTGATTCACCGGCTCGGAAACGTGAGAGATCCATTCGGCCACAAAATTCGTGAGCGACTTGATCCACCTTCGACGTATAGAAGGATTCTCGAAACTGTCCAGGATCTTCTCCCACATGATGTTACCTCTCTCGTCCATCATTTGAGCAATTACTGTTGACAGACCGCTGTTCTTCCATAACGTTTGCCCGAGTTCCGAATTGCTACAATACAAAAAAAGATTTAGTTACAACAAAAAACTGCTAGGGTATCGATAAAAAATATTTATAAATGTTAAAGCATTTGTAATATTTTTAATTTCTAAGCAAGCGTAAATTCAGCAACATAAATCGGCGGTGTAAATCCCACGCGCTAAAAATGCCGTTTTATAAGTTATTGCGTCATGTTATATTTTATTTGCATTTTTTAGATGCATTATTTATACATTTTTCATGATCCGCATATCCCACCCCTATAAGAATAATGCTTACAAATAAGACGTAACATGATACAATATAACTTACAAAATACAAAGTTTTAGTTTTATTAGAAAATACGAATATGATATACAGGATGTTCCAAAATTCGTGAATCAAAATATCATAGTAAGAAAGTCTTCGAAAAATTAAATAAAAAAGTTATTTGTAAATTTTTAATTTAAGTAATTTTTGAGATATAAGAGATTAAATTTAGCCAATTATATATTACGATTAAACGGAAACATGTCCGTGAGCGCGTCGATAGTTTAATGGTCGCGCACTTCATGTAAGTACTAATCTATATAATTAGCTAAATTTAAACCCTTATATCTCAAAACCTATTGCTTAAAATAAAAATTTACAAATAACATTTTTACTTAATTTTTCAAAGACTTTCTTACTATGATATTTTGATTCGCGAATTTCGGGACACCCTGTATATATAAAGAGTATGGTGTTTTTATTGATTAGAGTTTATTTAGCTTAGTAAATAATACTAAAGATTTCGATAAATGCGATATATAACATCGGAAAAATACTGGGAGTTACCCTATAAAGTATTTTTCCGTCTCCGGCAGCTTTATTTTTGACTTGTTCCAAGAGCGCAGGATTAATATTTACAGTTTTCATCGTGCGGTTTGGCGTACTACCTGAAGTGCTCCCACATGATGTGCGCGTTCTCCAATACCGGCGGCAACCACCAGGAGTGCCCGGAATGATCTTTAGACCCGGCATCGTTGTCGTTCATTCCGTGACCCAGAGCATCTAGAAGCATTGGCACGAGACCCAATGTCACGTCGTTGTTCGCATTTTGTTGCAAGAACATGCTGCCCATGCTGACTATGCTGCCCCAGTCTATGCCGGATTCCTCTTTATGTTCCGTGTCTCTCGCCGACCTCTTACCAGTATTCAAGGCGCTCAGAATCGAACCCACCATTGATATGTCGAAGCCTTGATTATTTTGTCCACCTGTCATCAAACTACTGAGCCCGGAGATGATCTGGCCGACACCGTCCGTCGTGGATCTTTTGTCGAACATCATGTCGCGAACCTATTAATTTCTCACATCTTATATTCGAATTTTTTAATCGATCGATCGATTAAATAAAAAATAAAGTTTCAAGCACAATTAGTAATTATTATTTTGATTATTTATGACGATTTTTATAACGATTTTTATGAATAATTATGGTGAATTTCGTTGTCAAGATAAAATCAAGATAAAATAATGAAGATATTAAAGACATAACGAATGTGAGAGATCAAATAAATTCAAGTTGAATCGGATAATTTTCTGAATACACGAATTTTCGTCATACTTGCTTGCCGGTATCTGATTGCGCAAACGTCTGGGCCATGTCCTCGAGCGTCTTCTGAGAGAAGAGGTTCTTAGCTTCCTCGATGAAGACGCTGGACGCATCGTCCTCATTATTTTTCTCAGAGCTCGCTAGCCCGACTAGTACCAATAGGAGCGACGTCCTCGTCAACCACATCCTCCCGTTTCTGTAACACAACATTTGGTTAGCGCGACTATTCGACGATATTCCTGCTGAGTAACCATCGTGGGGACTCGAGACGCCGCAATTGCATTTCTCTGCAATTTAATGACGTGCAATTACAACGAAGCCTCATTTGCCTGCTGGATAAAAAAAAACAGAGATCCTCGAGTCGAGTCGTTGACCTTTAATGGCGGATCCTGATTCTCTGGTCGAGTTATTTTTAGGAGAGAAGAAACCTTCCGCGAGGTCATTGTCGCGGGGATTTTAAACGCAGGCGACATACAGGAACCGTTTCGGCTCGTGGCCACTCGGATACCGTTGTTTCTTTAGCTACCTTAGCCAGTGTCAGTATATGTATTACACTTATGCGCATATTTTCGCAAGACATACTTACGAAAGTGCTGATGACGAACGTGTTGAGTCAGCACGGAAAAAAACGCGAAAAAGATATTTAAAAATAAAAATTGCAATTATTACATATACAATCCAGTAAATATACATATGTATATTATATAGAACAATTTCATATTTGCGAGTACAATAAATTGACCTATACAGTAAAAAATTTTAATTAGCTCGATCTACTCTTAACTTATTTGTTTAATAAATATATATAATTATTGTGATTTTTTATATAATATTTATATATTTATATATATAAATATATTTTGTAATTTTTTATATATTTTTCTAATAATTTAATAACATTTACATAAGTCAAAGGATATGGAGATGAATATGAAAAACGATTAGTAATTTAAGCAATTATAGAGTTATTAACGCAGTACTTGGTACGTGGTTAATTTAATTTTCAAATAAAATATTCCTCAATACATCGAACATTTCTGCCTTCTTCAGGCCTTCCTCATCGATAATTACAAAATATCGCTTACATTAAAAACGTTATTCCAATATAACAAATATGAAAAAAATAGATTAATTAGATCATCTAAATAGAAAAGTTCAAGGTTTTGTTTAATTTTGTTTAACTAGTATAATTATATTTCATTTCGAATAACAAACACACATGTCGCTTAACATTATCGAGTATCCTCGAGGATCAGAATCGTAGCAACTGTCACGAATGAAGACAATGACGATAAATGATTGGCGCAACGCTAGTGTATACTAACGCGCAATTTGAGTACCGTAAACCGCATGAAATTGACATTCTCCAGCTGGAATAACGATTCGGTCTAACGGTATGGACTGTTAGTCATCGTTACCCCAACGCGTCGAAGTCGTGAATGGCAGGTCGAAAGAATAAGGGGAGCCGATTCGATTGTCGCATCTCCTGATAAACATATATCGACATTGTGTAACGTGATAAATGTTGAATGGTCTGGAAAGTGGAAGCAAGAAATTTCTTGCAAATCATACAGATCATGAATTGCCTACTTCTGACTGTCATTAATATTTTTACGAAGTTAAAGAAAATAATCTAAAATGTGTAACACTCTTAATTTTCTGCGTTTACGTAATGTGTCGTCTTCATCTTTTGTATAATTTGGGTTTTAAGTCATTTTCAGCATTTATACAGTCACGGAAAATGACATTATTGTTAAGTTTGTTCTACAAATTATGTAGAAAAGTGCGTGTGTTAGAATACATAATCAGACATTATCACTGACTATGACGGTAGGTTGAACTAGAAAAACGCAATATATTCCTTTGCGAAAAGAAATAAAAAAATAGGTGAATGTGGAAGTTGTCTCACTCTTATTTAATCTCATTGTCTGCCATATTTTGCAATCGTCTTTGAGAGCCGCGTATAAAAGTAAGAAACGCGGAAGCCACCTCGTTCTCAGATTGTCGAGAGGGAAAGCGCGTGCAAGATTTTTGCAATGTCGTCGCACGTGCGGCACTTGATCAAGAATAAAAGAGCAATGACCGCCTTATTCATATAGAATTAAAATCATACAGTCGCATATTTTTTCGCACAGTAAGTGGATTATCAATAAGCGGATGTCAGCGATTTAACGGCATAACATTGTTGCTTCTGAAGCAACCTGCTTTCAAAATTACGACGGCATATTTATGAAGAACCTCGCCGAAAGACGTTCCGTGTAAATTGCAGTAACAATAACCTTAATATAACGGTATAATTTCTTATATATAAGCAATAATCTGATATATTCAATTACATAATTACGATTTTGTCCTTATAAAGATCGATATCTTTATAAGGACAAAATCGTAATTATGTAATTGAATATATCAGATTATTGCTTATATATAAGAAATTATACCGTTATATTAAAGTTATTGTCGATTTTTATCAGTAATACGACCGTAAAAGTTTGAGATGGCAATCAAAAAGTAATTGAGGGAGCTATTAATACTGACTTATTTGTCGTATGTTAATTATTAAGTATTTTAATAAGATAAAAAACTGACTGTTATCTTTTCAGATAACAATAAATGTTATCGTTTGTTTGCTCCTTTACATTTTCCGCATCCGCATTTTTAATATATTATACATAATTTAAAATAAATTAGAAATTAGAAATAATATTATAATTAGAAATGACACTTATTAAAATAGATTATTAGATACATTGAAAAATTATTAATATAATTATTAACATAAATATTTGAGTAACAAAAGAAAGAAATAGTTTAAAATAAAAATTCTGTTAAAAAAAATTATTTCTATTTTTCACAAAAAAAAGTTAGATAATGTTTTAATATTACGCAATTGCGAACAAACTCATGCGTTATCTGGTTTGCATTGTATTTGTGTATATAACTGGGTTAATTTTCACTGAAATCATGCAGTTATTTTAAAAATGCTAGTATATAATGACTTGCTTATCATTATAATGGCAAGGCGATAAAGTAAGACCTTGATGACTAAGACGACAGGCATTGAAACCCACCAAAGTACTAGTTGGATATTATCGTAAATAACAGCGATAAAAAGTGACTAAAAAAAAATGTTTAAAGTTTTAAATGAAGTTTTTCCTATGACACGCTCTGTCGTATTGCAATAAACATCGTCGACTACTTGACCGAATTTTACAACTTTTAAACAGCACTACGTTATTCTCGAGTATTCTAGGTTTTTGTAACTAACGTCTTTCTATTTTGACATGAAGATGTTAGCAATGGAACTATTTTTCACGCAATTTAAATTATTATTAATTTTATGATTTTCTTCAGTTTTTTTAGATTTTTATTTTTTTTATTATATAGATTAATTAAAAAAATATATATGTCTATCTGTAGAGATCTGTTTGTGTATAAACGCATTTATATATGTACATTCTTATATATATTTTTTATTTATAAATAAATGTCAGAGAGTTGTATATGCTCCGAGTTGATAAAATAATTAACAGAAAATGAAGAATGTCCTTTAGAGCAAACGCAGTTATATTGTAGCGTAGACAAAATTCTTTTATTGTAAATAATTGCAACATTAAAATCGCATATCGTTTCAATTCTAGGTTTGGGTCCTCTTCAGTGTGGAATGATTCGATGGTATGGATTATATCGCTCAGTGTAAAAGATTATAATAGTCGTATGATTCGTAAATCATATTCGCTCCCTCATTCTTGGTAGTAATAGATATGTTATATTTCTTTGTAGTCAAACAGATTAAAGAAGAACATGATGAGTGAACAGTTGAACGAATTAGTATAAACGGTCTTTATATTAACGTTAAAAAACAAATATATATATACATATAAAAGAAATACATATGTGTATAAGTATATATATGTGCTTGAAAGACAGATCTCTGTGTATAAACGCATTTACATTCCAGTATTCCAGATTACCATTCTACCATGTGTTAGTTCAAGTTCAAGCACGTGAGACGTCCTTTCTCTTACGCATAGCCGCCGAGGCAGCGGAACAGTTACTTAACATCTCGGATATAGTCAGTCAGAGCTCGTAAACTTCGCCAATGTGATCAGTAAGACAAACGAATCCCTCATAGATTGCAATTACACGCGTGGTGGCGCGCTCGCGCGCGTGGCGGAATTGCCGGTTGAAAAATTCGCGTGGCCGCGCCAGCAGCAACGGTAGTCGCAGTCAAGTAGAGCGTGTTCGATGGTGTTTCCAATGTGGAAAGGCGATGCGATCATTGGAGCTCAAATTGCCGTTACGTTATTTACGACGAGAAAATTTTGCGTGCATCTCGCGGAAGGTTGCATCTGCGGGGGGGTTGATTCGCGGAATGTATGTAATTAATTTCTTTTACCGCGCTGCCCCTCTTGTACTGCCATGAACATCGCGAGCGCGTAATATGCCATTTGCCATAAAAATATATTGCTGTGCAAATTTGAAGATATTATAACATTTTTGTCAATTTAGAATAGCTATTAATGAAGAAAATTTATTAATAAAATGCCGTATGTTGAAGTAGCGTATGTTGAATACGTAACGCAATACGAATTACAAGAACGTATCTGATTATGTGAAATAAGAAATACAGAAAATTATTATAAGAACAATTATAAGAAATTATAAGAAATATTTTATAAAAAATATAGAATATGGGGTCTATTACAAATGAAATAAATATAATTTTATATATTTTTGATAAATAAAAATAAACAAAGATGAGTTTCCATATTTTCCATATTTCACTGCCACGCATGTATTTGAATAAAGTTAACATTAACAAACTTCCCTAAAACACAAGATTTCAACTAAACACTTTATTTTACGTTTTCACATTCGGACGATCTACTTCCACGTCAATCCCACGAACTCGTAAAGACACGTAAACGTCCAAGCATGTTAAGAATCCAAGCGCTCTTGGGGGTTCCGGTTAAAAAGTCACTTTTAACCGGAACAAAAATTCCATTATCACGATAGCGAAAACATGTTTTCCAAATATGTTTAGCAATTTGTTTTCCTCCACGTACCTTTTTTAAAGCCAAATGGAAAATCTATGAGCTGCCTATGTTCAAATGCGAACGAACTGTGCGCGTGTATGTGGTTCCTCAGGAGCTCGTGCACCTGACACGACGAAGGTTGTGGCGTGACTGGCGTCAGACGTAGCCCGTCGAACGGTACTTACCTACCTGAGCAAGTCCCCTGACTTCGGAGCGTAGAAGCCGGCAATACAATGCACGCTTTCGACTCGATGCAGATCCCTGCACCACGACTGGAATATTATCTGCACTTGCATGAATTCTCGCGTCTCTGCTCCGAAAGCTGCGAGGCATTCTCGAGTCCGTGGATTTTTGTTTGATGCTATGGCACACATCAAGCGTTTAAATCTCGAACGGCTCTGCGACACACATTGATAGTCTTCCGAAATAGATTAATGATTTTCTGTAAATAAATACTTAAGCTTGTCATTTACTTTTATATTATTCTTCTTTTAATAATTCTTCTTTTAATAATTAAACTTCTTTTAATAATTAAACATATGATGAATCTAAGTATAAATTTGTTCAACGTCGAACAAAGTTTTGTATAAATAAGGGCAACGATATATTAAAACACATAAATTCGCTTTAAACATTTTATCTCTAATGCTATAAGATTATTGTAAAATTTATAAAATTCTATAAATTCTTATCATTTCCGTGATATTTAGTTATTTTTTTTATTAATTAGGAATATGACGATTATGTGCAGTTCTTTAATTATAACTGTTTATGAGATGGATCCTTGCGTGACAGCTGATAATACAATACGGTCTATTAACATTAGATGAGTTCAGATAAACGTCTGATGCTCCCATCTAACGCAGACATTAGGTATAGTCTCGCAACGCCGTGAATGATTCAATTGACAATATTCCGTTCAATAATGCCAATTGCAATGAATGAACGTTTGGAAATGCGGTAGTGAAAATTACCGTTATCGAGATCGGGTTAGCTCTGCCAGTTTTTATCCAGGTCACGGTATGTAAATTACAGCTGCGCAATGTGCTTCCTTTCTGGAATCGCAACGAAATGTTTTACGTTTCAGGTAAGGAGGAATTCTTCGTCATCGGATATCGGATGGTAATCTAAAAAGTCTTATCATGAAGATAAAAAAAAATGTCGTTTCTATGTTATATCTTTCCCTTCCCACAGATTCGAGTAACTTACTGCTTCAAGGAGCAGCGTGGTAAAACCGGCTTTGATACAGATACACACAAAAGCGACTTTCGGCGGACAGTCGATGACCCCGCGGGAAGGATTAGGGAACGCGCGTCCGATGAAGGCATACCTTCATCTCCGGTTACCAAGGTCATCTCTGTGCACTGCGGTATCACGTGAAGCGATCCGTGATGATAGAGGGAAGGGACGTTCAACCGGTTACGAGTTGTGACTTGACGGCAATTTTTGAGTAACCAACGAGCTCGCGCTTGATGTTGTTTCCATCCTGTTTACTCTGTCCGAGGACTAATTGATTCTTCCGTGTTAGAACAATAAACTTCTTCAGTAACGACCAATACGAGGTTCTCTTTGAAGCCGCAAAAGGCAACCTTGCAATTGCAACTAAAACGTCTCTGACAGTAAAACAAAACTATAATAGAACATCCACGATACTTCGTACGTATTAATATAATGCAATTTTGTACAACATAGAGGTAGAATTTAATATTAGAGCATTAAAGCTATCAAGCGCTGTATATAATCTTGATTAAAGAAAATCAAATAAATTGTATACCGCAGTAAATACATCGCAATTTTTCAATGTCTCCGTTTCTGTCTCGAAGTACGGAGCGGGCATATATGGCTTAGATTCGTAGTTCATAAATAAGAAATTAGATGGGAAATTCTAGTTTCTTCGCAACGTTGACACACAGATATACCTACGTGTATTTTTTATGAGAGACAGAAGATTTTAAGATTCTTTAATATTTTTACAAGAAAGGAAAGACCTGCGATCACACAATGCAATACCGCTTCGTCGCGTATCTCAGGGTAGCGGTTTTGTATAAAATTGCGACATTTGTAGCGTGCGACTTTTTCCTTTCCAAGAAAAGATCTCTCTTCGTTACATTCAGCGATGTCTCGCGAAAAGTCAGCGCAGCTGGAGACGGTCGCACGCGAATAAAAGATGTAATACGGCGGTGTTTCTTCGACAAAAAAGTTACAAACACTTCCGCGTGCCTCGCCTTAATCTGACGACCGCATACTTGCGACAGAAGTCCTCGGATCCGATTCGGAATGATCTTCCATAGAGACGTTACCGTGACATTATCGGTGCACAGATTTGCTCTCAGTTGCGTCGGCATCTGGCCTGTGAGGGAGAAAAACATCTTCATGGATCTCAGATGGATCATCGCTGTACTTTTGGAAGCAAGTTAAATGGGTCATTGATTATGTGATATTCCTTTTCATGAATTATAGATTAATATTAATTAATTAAGATATTAATATTAATATTTTTTGATACTATAATTCATACAAATATTTTAGCAAATATTTTATTTTAAACTGATTCAATAAAAAAAAATTAAATAAATTTTGCTTTTATGCTAATTTACTACATTTAAATATCTCATTACGCATTTCTCTATTTGGTCTGTCAAAAGATTTCTGATAGATGCGATTTTTTCTTAACAGGTATAAAAAGAAAACGTATTTAATTTTTCATGTTAAATACAGTTATTTGGAATACTGAATTTTTTCGAAACTGTAATTGTCTACCGTCGAATTTGTACTTGAAATATTAATGAAGACAATAAATTTTAAACTCTGTATTCATATTTTCGTAGATTTTTCAATGCGGAAATTATTAATTTTATAAAAATTATAGATTTATTAAACGATGTCGACAAAGAAAGAGAGAGAGAAAGAGACAGAAGGAGAGGAGACAAGAGAGATAAATAAATTTCATCTTTACTTGTTACAATTTTTCATGCGAATCTCTCTATCGAAAAACGTATTTTAATAATTTATAATCGCACTAATGATACAAATTTTGTATATTATATATGCATAATATAAATAATAAAATTTGACTTTTTCTTCAATAATTTGTTGTTATAATTTTTTTATTTTCTAGGTAGTTCCGATGTGCCTTTATTTTACCGAAATCTACCTGCACTGTAATGGAGCGGAAAAATCTTTTAACTCGTTGACACCCGGTGCCGCCGCTACGTTAGCTCTCACGAGACTAATCACACCTCGTATCCACCGAGAGGAGTTACTCGAGATAGTCACCTCCATGATGAAAGATTGGGCCGTGCAGAAGGATAAGAAAGTTCGTTGGATCATGGAGAAATACGCGACGATGTCGACGCGCGTGACGGTGCTCACCTTCATTCTCGTGGGCATTATAGTGGGTAGCTACATCGCGATGGCGATATCAGCGGTCACCGCGAAAAAGGGACGACTCGATTATGAGATCAACAACGTGAGCATGAGCCGCGAGGACGAAGGTCAGCTGTGCGTATTTCGGAGCGCGTCGTCGCGTCAGGCTTTTATGGTCCTTCAGGCGATGCAGATGTTCACTACTGGTATACTAACCTTCGGCACTACCAGTTTCTTCTTCGGACTGGCCATGTATCTGTGCTCCCAATTTGACGCGTTGAGCATGAAGCTATCCGAATTCCGAGTTAGCGAGGCGCGTCACGCGATAGCCGAAGTGGTCCAAAGGCACTGCCATCTTATCCGGCTGGCCGAGTGTATGGAGGAGTCATTCAATGCGAGCGTTTTGGTATACCTGTTCGTTACCAGCACTCTCATGTGTATAGATGGTAATATGTCTTTAAATAAAAAAAATTGTTAAATTTAAAGACTCTTTCCAAACTTAAATTTTTTAAAGATCACAAGATTAATTTTCAATTTAAATCGTAAGATAATATACGCGCTATAAAAGTAAATTTGTTAACAGTATACATAGCATATATAGCATATATGTACATAAACAGTACATAACAAATTAATAAAGCATAATAAATTGAATGCAATTACATTTTATAATTATATTTGATTTGTTTATTCAGTTTATCGCAAGCTATAAATTTAATAAAAAGCCAACCTTAGACGGGAATGTACATACGATGGAAATTTCATCGCATTTTACGCTCAAATTGACTTTATATTACATTTATCAATTTTTGAAAACAGAAAATTAATTATTTCATATAAAAAAACAAAATATAAATGTTCTCGAGCTTTCATTACAACACGGAAAGAATAGTTATGTTGAAAGGTCTAAAAATTTTGCCTAAAAACAGATCTGAAAATAATTTTTTGTTGAATTATCAAAATAATTTGTTGGAATGTTAAAACTGGTAAACATTGCTATTAAACGTTTTGATATTCTAGCAATCATTTTGACTTTTGCACAAAATTATTTTGATTATTGAACAAAAATTATTTTCAGATATGGATTCAACAAAATTGTTCTTTCCGTGAAGCTTCATTAAGAAAACATCTTTAAGCTGTATTTACAATGATATTCAAACATAGCTAGGATTTACTTAGTTATTTATTGTAATCTTTACAATACGATATCGAATCTCGCAGTATCTATTTCAGTAAAAAGGTTTATAATGCCGTAATAATATTTTCTAGGATACATGTTAATCGCGTCGTTACCTCTTGGCAATCTATCTATGATTATACATAGCGGTAGCGTCTTACTTCTTATGCTGATCCAATTGTCGTTCTACACATTCGCCGGTGATTACTTGGAGATGAGAAGCACCGCGTTGTCTTATGCCACTTACGACTGCGACTGGTACGATCTGCCGGCTGGTGTAGCCAAGGATTTTCAGATTATCCTAATGCGAGCCAGTATTCCTCATCAACTGACGGCCGGAAAATTCGTGGTCATGAACATGATCACGTTTAAAGATATCTTGAAGTCCACGGCGTCGTATCTTTCGGTCCTGCGTGTCATGTTAGACGGTTAAATGTATGAAACAAGTTATCCGATTGTTAAAGTTGCGCATTATTGTCGACTACACATCTCTCGCTTCCCGTCGCTGCGCGATAGTTAAGCCAATTCATAAAATTTGTAGATTAATTTGTAATTTAAAATAAAGTTTCTAGCCGTATTTCAATTTTGTGAGGTACACGCATGGAATATCACGGTGTTTTGATATAAAGGGGTTTCCTATTTTTCTTCAACGATATACGACATCTTATATCCCTTGTCTCTTTTTCGTCCCCTTTCAATTCCCAATGACAGACTAACATTTTATATAGTAAACGAAATCGTGTATTGTGATGTCTGTGATGCCATACGATACCTGCAATGTATGTTTCGATTTCAAGACTACAGTGTAAGAACTGTTGATGCACTATTATTTTTCATATTTTCTGTTCTTACCACGATGAAAGAGACGCGTGTATTGCATACTGCGTTGCAAAAGCATATTCGCGGAAAGGCACTCTCGGCTAGAGGCTGTAATCGGCGAAAGTTCAAAAATTCGCGAGACAGCCCTCTCAAACTACAAAGCGTCGCGTCCTATAGAAGTATAGAAACATGTGATTTCGTTACGCCGATTCCGTTTCCGCGCGACGCTACGCCGTTCCTCGCGTGAATAAAAGATCAAAGAGGGACGCCTCGCCCTCGACGGCGTGGGCAGTGAGATGGCTCAGCTTGCCGCGCGTCTTCATAGTAAGTTTGGAGCTTGGTCAACGCACAGTGAAAAGAAATCGAATAAACGTCATCGAGAGAAACTGATATCAGTCGGAGTTTCGCTACGACTTGTGCGCGATAATATTTGTTCACGAGCAACGTAATTCTCGACTTCAAATTCTTGAAGTCAAATATATATTAAACGAAGTATATTTAATTTTTTTTATTATTGAAATAATTTAATGTACAGCAGTACATTAATTTAATGTACAGTACATTAAGTTAATGCACGGTTGTACATTAATTTAATGTACAGCAGAATTTCATTTATTCACACTTACCATTTACGTGAACAAGTTTGTGCTTAGTTCTAAACATACGAACTCATAGCCAGTTCTTATTACCTGAGTCATTCGAATAATAAGACTTCGACATGCTCGACCTCAATTTTCTGAACAGTTCCTATTATCGAAACTAATAAGTGAGCCTCTATTATCCGAACCATTCGGTTATCTGAATCGTCTTGTTCCCTGCTGTTCGGACGAACAGAATTCTACTGTACATATTTACAAATATATTGGTAGTGCGTTTATATGACGTTTATATGACGTTTCTTTAAACTATTGCTGTATTTTGATATTAACTTGAATAAAATTTCAATTAAGATTACTTAGACTAACAATAAGATCTTGGCACAATATATACGTAGAATATGATGTACATAATGTGTAGGCTTAATTCATTTCTTAATTCTTAGAAAAAAGATAGATATTTTAACTTAACGATGAAGGAATCAAGAAATTGGACCGACGAATCTCATTACGCTCTAAATGTTTACGAAAAAGTTCTCGGTATAATTGGAATTTGGCCTTTAAATGCGGGCGAGTTTACATCTATCGCACGATGTTGCTTAGCCATTTTAATTCAGGTAAATACACAAATAGTTTTTTCAAATTGGATAAAATTAAAGATGTATATAAACTATATCTTTACCATGTCGTTAATTCTTTATCACATTTTCTTTTCTGGAAATTATTTTTTTTTAACACAAAAACCTTTAGGCCCGATTGCACCAACGTTATTTTGACTTTAAGCGAGGTTTAAAACTCTGCCTGTCTTCAAAGCTCTAAGACAGAGAGAGAGAGAGAGAGAGAGAGAGAGAGAGAGAAAGAGAGAGAGAAAAAGGGAGTTTTAAACCTCGCTTAAAGTCAAAATAACGTTGGTGCAATCGGGCCTTAGACATTAAAAATTTATGAGTAATTAGCAATTTTAAAAATAAAGAGATCGCGAATTAACGCGATCCCCTCGGCGATTAGATCAGTACTATCGGCAGCCTGTCTCTGGAAGCGTATCGGCAGTGCCTCGGCACCGAGGACATGATGGAGGCATTTCTAATGGACCTCTCGTCTGTCGTCAGCCTCTCCAAGCTTCTCGTCATCCGTCTCACCTGGAGGCACTCTTACGTCCTAGTGACTTCCATTATCGACGACTGGTCGATGTCCCGGGACGCGCGACAACGGGAAGTTATGATGAGGTACACCCACGTCGGCAGAGTCGTGTCCTTGACGATATTGTATCTGGGCTACGCGTCGGGCGTCTCGTTCCTCTTCATGGCCGTGCCGTTCGACAGCTTGTTACCTTGGCTGAACGCCACCAAGGCGAGCGATAACGACACGGTGGCGACGACCTATTTCCTGGCAACCTACTGCGTTTTCGGATCATTGCCAACGATCACTTACACTTGCGTCCTGTTGCTGCAAGTGGTGCAGATCTTCGTTAACGCCACCTCGCATTGCGGGAACGATGGCTTTTTTTTCGGTATTGCGATGCACCTATGCGGGCAGTTCGAGGTGCTGCAAATGGACTTCGCCGGCATCGAGGCGGAAGAGCGAACCTGTAAAAAGAAGATACGAATGTTAATCGGCAGACACTGTCATTTGATAAGACTGGCTGACAGTTTCGAGTACGCTTTCAACATGGCTATCTTCGCGCAGGTGTCGATGAGTGTGTTACTGCTTTGTGTGGAAGGTATTATCCATTTCATATACAAAATAGAATAATTTTTGCTTGACAAAAATAATTGTGATGATTCATGTATTAGAGTTGTATTAGAATTTAAAAGCATATTTAATAGCTTTATATAATAAGCATGTATACAAATCATTTAATATTTCCATTTCAATTTGATAAAACGTATTTACTTCTGATATGATGTTATAATTGCATATTATTTACGATAAACTTTACAATTTTTTTATTCTTGATTTCCTAAGAATGAAATATTAAAATGACACGTTGAGACACGTTATATCAAAATAAATATTTCAGAATTTAGACTATCCAAAACGTTGTTTTTGAAGAAAATTTTACTAAAATGCTATAGTTTATACAACACAAACTATAGCTTTTTAACAAAATTTTCCTTGAAGACAACATTTTGGAATAATAGTTTTAGGTAACATATAAAATAAGACATTAAAAAAAGATAAAAACAAAAAAGAACATTACAAATACAGAATTAACAACAAAAATAAATAATTAAAGAATAAATGAAATCTTTCAAACTAAAAGCATTTATAGTATTTATACCCATTTCTATCAATGTAGATGAACTTCGGTTTAACTTGTTTTTTATCTTTTTTGAGTTCTAAAAATTAGAAAAAGATAAAGAGTAAAGATGAAACCGAGCTTAAAGTTAATCTACATTAATAAAAATTTGATATTTGAATTTTCTTAAAACAATTGAAAAAAGCCGAACATGCCCATTGTACTTGCCCAGTGTATTACTGATGAGCGTTTAAAATTGTATTATCATAAGCCATCGTAAGAATGTGACCTAAAAATTAAAAATTTTCAACGAATTTTAAAAATAAAATAATCGGGATAATTATATTATTAATGTTATTCTATTGAATATTATATATATCATTAAAATATCGAAGATTTGTGCAGATATTAAAATATCGATATTTTTATTTGTCTATGCTTGTAATAATTTAAGATTTATTTTTAGGTATGCAATTGATAATATCATTGAAGTTAAACGACAATATCGCAGCAATAAAACACATTGTCTTGATTATGACGATGCTGGTGCAACTGTACCTCTATTGCTACGCTGGCGATCAGCTGGAGTACATAACCGGAAGGATCGGTTACAGCGCTTACGACAGCCCGTGGTACAATTTCGACGTGAAGGTAATGAAGAATCTGCCTATGGTGATGCTTCGAGGAAAGTTGCCGCACCAAACAACAGCCGGGAAATTTCTGCCGATGAATTTATTTTCGTACAAAGAGATTTTGAAAGCCACAGGCTCCTACCTCTCCGTTCTCAGAGTGATGATAAATGTGTAAAATTGATACTGTCGGCATACGATTATAAATTATGACTGATTCAATGTATAATGTCTTCATTTCTTCATTTTCTTCAGTCTTGCATACGTGAACAATTCTATACGTGTCTGCGTGCAATATTGATTGACATATTTGGCCAAAACGTTAGATAAGAATATATCGAAAAGCTCGAATTTTATATTCATGTCACGTTGTAATAAATCGCGCAAAACGCACAATCTTACAACTCGACAATTATCAACAACAATTATTAAAAAAAAAATTATTAACAATATATTGTATAATTCAAGAAAAGTTTGTTATTGACTTGTTTCCTATTCCGGATATAATATTCTCTTTTTCCGGAAAAATCCAAAGACCTAAAAATATACTTATAAATTATTAGCAATAGTACACTGCAAAAAAGGTTTTTGTTTCGATATAATTTAATATAATATATGTAATGATCATGTTATATTATAAGAAAATGATAAAGTAATATATATTAATGTCACAATTCTCTTATAGTACTCGATTATGATTTTTCAGCGTAAAAAGTTCTCCTTTCCTTCTTCTTTCTTATATTGAATCTAAAATCAACCTACGAATCTTTCCCTCGGTGAAAGCAACAGTTTCGTGAGATCTTAGAGAACTGTTTGTATATTTTTTATTTATCATGAAATAAAATATTTAAACATCTGTAAGTCTAATATTACAGACATATCAGTAGACATCCGAGGACAAATGTGTCGCGTATTATTTGCAACCATATTATTTGTACAAATACGAATGTAAACGAAGGCTATACTTGCATTCTCTTCAAGAAAGTCACGAAAGCCAAAGGTATGAATAATAAATTCAGAAAAAATCCAGTTGGTCGCAACCACGGAGGGGTTGCTTAAAGTATTGCAGATACTTGTACCTGTAATAAATCGAATATCGAACGTTGCGGTTCATTGCGAAGAAATGTAGACAAAGAACTACAGTCGCTTTCGGGGAATAACGATTTGAAGAGATACTCGGAAGATTGAGTGTAACAGTCGACGGAATAGAATAATAAAGAACTTACGCAAGCGTGACGTTTTTGAGTGCTCGAGAATGGGATCAAACACGAATTGGAATACTGACACTACAAATATTTTGAAATTTCATAAAAATTTCCTCGGCATAATTGGACTTTGGGCATTAAACGAGAAGAATGTATTCTCGAGGATTCGATGGTTCTTATCGACGATGGTGGAAGTAAGTTATGCTTCTCCAGATATTTAATATAATTTTTAATCTCGCATATTTGCGTATATGTATGTACTTGTTTCTTTTATTTCGTTAACAATAATAGAAGCATGTTAAATTTTTTTCTGTTTACAGAAAAATTGTTTTACTGTTCTGTATTGTATTTTGCCCTGCTATATAAAGATATTTTGCTACATTTATTAAATTATTACTTTTTTAACCTCTTCAGTATATGATCGACTAAAGTCGACAACCACAAAAGGTACTACTTGTCTCGGCTGTCAAGTAATACTATGTGGCGGACGTATATCGTACCGAAGAGATTAAATTATTATATATATATTTTATATATTAAATCATATATATATATATATATATATATATTTAAAATAAATAGATATTTATATTGAGACGCAATATCTTCATTTCATTTTCGTGAACTAGACGAGTACATCGATCACCATGTCACTAGAAATGATTCAACATTGTAATGGTCACGAGGATGCCATGGATGCCTTTCTGTTAGGCTCATCGTCAGTAATTAGTATGATAAAATTGCTCTTGCATCGCGTATATTGGAAACAAAAATCCATTTTGGTGAAATCAATCATCCATGACTGGACTTACGTGAAAAATTCTCACTCCCGCGATATAATGCTAAAGTACGCGCGCGTAGGCAAGCTGGGTTCCTCGATATTCTTCTGTTTCGGTTGTGCCTCGGTCGTATCCTTCGTCTCCACTGTCGTCCTTGCCAATATCAATTTGCCCTGGACCTCTGAAACGGAGATTATTAATAAGACATATGAAAGAAAGTTGATGTTAGCAGCCTATTGCGTCTTTGGAAAGTATACATCTCCCTTCTCTTACTGCGCCGTTGAAGCTCTGCAGTTCCTACAGATTGTCGTTAACGGCATCTCGCAGTGCGGAAACGATGGCTTCTTCTTCGATCTCACGATGCACATGTGTGGACAATTCACGATCCTCCGAATGAACTTCAATTCATTGGGTTGCGACGAATTTCCCCATCGTGGCAAACTCGACGTCTTGATGAAGAGACATTATCACCTCATATGTTTGTCGCATTATTTAGAGAGAGCATTCACCCTGGTAATCTTGGCACAAGTTTTAATGAGCGTCCTTGTCTTGTGCGTTGAAGGTAGTTATTATTTCAAATAAACACACGGAAAGAACGATTTTGTTGAAAGGTCTAAAAATTTGGCTAAATACAGATCTGAAAATAATTTTTTGTTTAATTATCAAAATAATTTGTTGGAATGCTAAAACTGATAAGCATTGCTATAAAACGTTTTGATATTCTAGCAATCATTTTGTTTCTCGCACAAAATTATTTTGATTATTGAACAAAAATTATTTTCAGATCTGCATTCAGAAAAATTGTTCTTTCCGTGCAGCAATCGAATTTATCATTGTAAAAATTCCGGGATTTATATTAATGTGTTTTTTTTAATCTGTAAATTATCACTCTGAAACTTTTACAGCAATAATAAATGAAAAATTCTCAATTATTTTAAAACCACTAATTATATTTAATATTGCATTTCCTCTTCCAGGTTTTCTTTTACTTCTTTCGCTTGAAATGAACGATGCGCTTACCGCTGCAAAACACAGCGTCTTCATTATCTCACTGTTGGTACAACTTTTTCTCTATTGCTTCGCCGGACAGACGTTGGAGTTCCAATCGAAAGGATTGGCCTATGCAATTTACGAATCACCGTGGTACACTTTTGACGTGAGCACGATGAAGAATTTACCATTGATAATTCTCCGAGCAGCTAATCCACAGCAAATAACTGCAGGCAAATTCGTAGCAATAAATTTTATGACTTTTAAAGAAATTCTGAAGGCTTCCGCCTCGTATTTATCTGTATTAAGGGTAATGATTAAAACGTGAATAGAAACTCTTTTAGCAGAAAAATAGACAGTTTTGGCTTTTTTATAAATTACTTTAATTGTATAACTATAATGTTTCTTAAACAATTGTAATTGACAAACATTTTTCTGTAAATGGTAATGAATATAAAGATATGTAATTTAACGGCAAAATTGCATTAATTAATATGTTAATATGTTATGTTTATTGTGAGATGCATAAATACCAAAGCATCAAGAAGATATATGAAATAATATTGAAATATAATGAAGTTAAAAAAAAAAAATTTTTAATACAGTAATAACAGAATATTCTACGTAGTTTTTATTTTATTGTATTTTTTACGAAGTAAAAGTAAAGTGAATATATACAAAATTCTTACCTGAAATGATACAAATAATAGCTTCACCAAATGTACTGCTGTTCCCGTGGTAGAAATGACTATGGAAGTAGGAATGTAAAGACATGTACACCGATCTCTTTTCGCACTTGGCTGGCAGGAGAAGTGTTCTGCGCAAGTTAATAAAACATGAGTTCAGCGGAATAATAAGTTAATACAGCGCAATTGATTGAACTTTCATACTCGATAATACCCGATAATATCCGATAAGAATCGAACGATCGTAAATCGATGGTAATTTGGCAAAAATTAGTTAGTAACAACTTGAAACGAAGGTAGTTTCGAATGGGCGGTCGTTCGAGTTCTTCCGCTCGCTAGAATGACGGATAAACGTTGGAACAATGACATCGCTTACGTTTTCTCTATTCAAAGAGCAGTTCTAAGAATATACGGTTTGTGGCCATTGCAGACGAAGACAGTATTCACAAAGATACGATGGGGCTTTTCCATTATTGCACAGGTACGTTAATGCAGGAGGGAGTATAACGTATATTCAAAGGACGTGAAGGAGAGAGAGTCTTGAAATTTGCAAAATGGTTTTGTGTGAGCAATTTTTTTTCTAAATATTCAATAATGATTTCAAGGAATACACAATTTCTTCTCTTAATATTTTACTTTTATTATTTTACCGTTCGACAAATTTATGCTTACGATGAAGCGTAAAAAATTATTTATTGCACATTATTTCTTTATGTTTATTACTTTTATTAGTATTTGTTCAGATACTAACTGTTATTTAGTTTATGATATTACCCTGGGCGATAATGGATTTCTGGAGTCAGGCTACCATCACCTCAAATATAGAATGTATAATATATATTACGTCTTCTTCGTTGGGAGTCATAAGAGGTTTGTGTATTAACGCAAATCAAAAGAGATTGGGTATAAACATTAAGGCTGCTATCGAGGATTGGTTGTCTGCTAATAAGGAATCTAAGAAGATTATGAAAAAACATGCGGTTAAATCCAAAATACTCACCTTAACTTTGTTATATTCGTTAATCGGGTGTCTTGGCTGTTATGTGGCAATCATCATAGTCAACATTGTGAATCAGGTGTATTTCACGGACCCAAATTCAGTGGACGGTAAAATTTGATTGTATTCATTGTGCCGTTAACTTTTATTTTGTAATCTAATTGTAAATTAGATTATTGTAATATCCTGATATTTTCTGTTCTTGTGATATGCAGCCAATACAACAAATTGGGTATTTATGGTTCCATCTGGCCCATTGAGTAGCTCGCTCACAGGTTCACAATATGCGATAGTCGTGACCATCCAGTTTGTTCAAGTATGCGTATTAGCCCTCTTATTATGTATCACAGACTGCCTCTTTTTCAACGTCACGATACATCTTACCGGTCAACTCGAGATACTTAAAAACCAATTCGAAATTTTTGCAAACGAGCGAAACACCGAGGCAAATTATCGAAAGAAATTCATCAGTTTGGTTAACAAGCACAGCGATTTAACTAAATTATATCAAAATTTGGAAGGTAGCTTTCATATTCTTCTATTATTTCAACTTGTGGTAACGACAATTATGCTCGCACTGACAGGTAATGTATATTAAAGATTTTACTTCGATTTGTTATATAATGCATAATATACCTATTTATATGTACAAAATCTTCACATGGCATTGTATAAAAATTTAAAAAAACTATATTTACCTAATACATTTTATTAAATTTAATCTAAAGTATTCATAGAATTTGCACGTTGAACACGTTCATGCACATATAGGGTATAATGTGGAGTGAATTCTGATATGAAGAGGATTCCCTTCACTAATGGAGGCACAAAGGCAATCATAAAAGTTTATATAAACATGCGCCATATTTGGTCTTGTTTCCGAATTATAGTTATATTTATATTTCAGTAAGAGCTTATAAAGATAAGCACTTTTATAAGAAGTGCTAAAAATAATCACCTTCAGCCTGAATGCAAGCATACAGTCGTCACAGATATTTCAATACATGATCTATTGGCTGATCTGCGCGTTCTCCAGATTTGAATCTCTTAGATTTTTATTTGTAGAGACTTGAAAACAATTGTTTATTCCCATCCTATTGACATACACTGCCGTCGAAAAGTTTCCGGATAATACCTACACTTGTCTTCTCGCGTCTTCTTGAGATTTCATGTATATGTTTCTCGTCAGAAGTATTTGACTTTATGGTATACCAAAATTATTTACATAACACAAATAAAATTAAATGACCGCTGTTCACCATAAAAGATGCTATTTCACGTTTCCAAAAAATTAATTTTAATAATCGACTATAATAAAGGCTCACACTGGGAGGCCTCAATTAGTCACTTTCAAATCAGAGGATAAGTCCTTAGTTTTAATGTCAAAAATGAATAAAATGCTTACCTCATCGGAAATCCAATCGCGGTTTAATAAAAATCATGAACATCAGATCAATAACTACCGATGGATCGTTTGCACAAAGTCAGCTTTTGAGACAGAGTTTTCACTAAAAAATCGCTCCTCTGGCGCGAGAACAAGACAAACAGACTTTAGTGAGACTCAAAATTACAAAGGCTGGATCTGGACATCGAATTTTTCCTACTTATACTCCTGTCCTGTGGAAACTTTTCGACGGCAGTGTATATTAAAATACTTTGTTAATATAAGAATATAAGTATATAAGAAGGCTGCCAACGAACATCCGACAAACATCTGGTATTTTTGAAAGTGTGTGATAATTTACAAGGCGACGACTGCATGCTTGTATTTAGGCTAAAGGTGATTTTCAGCACTTCTTATAAAAGGATAAGCAGCTCCAATTATATTGTAAACTACAAATATGATTATAACTCGGAAACAAAGCCAAATGGGGTACATATTTATATGAACTTTTATCATCATTTTCGTGTCTCCTGTCCACTAGTGAAGTGGATCCTACACGTTAGAATATACCCTATATTTTAAAATAAATACTTATTTTCAGGATTTCGTTTGAATATATTTCTGTACGAGAAAAATTATGCTGAAGCAATAAAAAGTGTTATTGTCTTAAACTATTTATTAATGCAAGCAATGCTATACTCCTATGGTGGTGAATTCCTGCAAAGAGAAAGCGAAGATATATTCTATGCGTTATATACAACTTCCTGGTTTACGCTTCCTTTGGCAGTGATGAAAGACCTGTATTTCGCGATGATGAGGTCGAGTATTCCGTTTCGCTTAACCGGCGGAAAATTTTTCTTTGTTAATCGTGAAACGATGATGCACATCTTTAGGACAGTGCTCTCATATATTTCAGTTTTACGAATAGCGTTAAGAAAGAGTAACGTGTACGGCTGATGGAGATTAAAAATTTCCTGAGATCTTATTATGAAAACTATTATAACTATTATATGAAAACTAATACTATGTAACATAGACAAATATGTTTGAGTAAAAGGTATTTTAAGATATTTACCGTTGAAAAAATATTTGTCGTAAAGAAGAAATGTGTCAATTATTTTGATTAAAGTAAATTGTTCAACGTTAATATTGAACGTATATCAATCAAGAAAAGGATTCAATTGTATTTTTTATTTCGAGATTTATATTTACATTAAAGCACATTGTTTAACCCTTTCAATGCTACGAATATATAAACACGTCCAGCAAATGGCGCACTACGAGCGCTATGGACGAGTTCACGCGTCCGCTGAATCGGACATTACGAACGCTATGGATGTATTTTTACGTCCAGTTTTAATAGCAAATAAAAATGTTTAGCTGAGATGCGCTAACAGACAGTATTTTACACACATTATCCATTCGTCAGAAGTATTCTGCACTGAAGGAATTTATTATAAGAAATACTTAATGCACCATAAAATATATACATATTAGCAGTTTTGATCTTGATAGAGAAATCTTCTACATTTATATGTATTTTTTTAATATGAAGGCATGATTTATCGGTTGTAACGCAATTTCAAATGCGTATATACATTATTTGGTTAGTATAAGACTTCGTTTCAATTTCTTCACAATGTTTTTCTTTCTATTTTCACGACCATTTATTGTATCTAATGTTTCCACTTTGTTGCAGCCTTTTCCTTGTAGATTATATTGTTTTCTACTTTCATAGAAGATTTTACCGGAGAAATTTGAAGACATGAAAACATGCTTCCTGATGAATTATTCGTAGTAACATATCGTGAAAAATTTTATTATTGCTTAGTTTGCAAAGACGTTATGGTATCGTCAAATATCACATGTTCTTTTTACAGTCACTTATTACATTATGTCTCCATACAACTTTTTTTCTATTTTTTTTTGTATCTTATTTATATTTTTCTACCTGGAAAAAAATATATAAATTGTTTTTGCAGAAAATGATAGGGTGACGATTCACGAGCGTTTCACTGTTGCAGTCGTAAATTTTTTATTTGTCAACAGATACGACTTAAACGACTGCAAATCTATTATTTCAAAGACGAAGTATCATCGAGAACAATGTCGCGTCGTGTAGAACCGTATGATTTATACACATACATATATGGAAACGTAAGCTATACTTGCGTTCTTAAAAGGAATGGTGAAGATATGAATAATAAATCATATAGAAATCCAGGGAAGTCAGTTTTGCGAGGGGTTGTCGCAGCGAAACAAATGTGGGTTGTACCTGTATTGAGTATCATACGATGCAGTTATTGTGGAGAAACGAAAGACTACATTTGCTTTCGGAAAAGAGCCGAACTGAGGAGAAATTCAATATAATACAATTGTAATAGTTATCGGATGAAATAGATTGGAAGGAATTGCTACAGTCTGAAATTTTGAAGTGCTTTCGAAAATGGGATCGGCTGTGGAGTGGAATGCTGAAACTGCGTACGTTTTAACGCTTTATAAGTATCTTCTTGGTGTGCTTGGACTCTGGGTGTTAGATGAAGGAAATATATTTTCGAGAATTCGTTGGTTTATGTCGACGATGATAGAAGTAAGTTGTGACTTTCAGTTATATTAACTTTTAGATATTATTAAAAAAATGTACCATCAAATTTTTGTTCTGTTTTTTTGTTTGTATAATAATGTTTCTTGTCTAACTTGAATATAATAAATTTTATTCACATATATCGACATCTTGCTTAATTTCTTATTGCATAAATTAGGCTAAAACATTTAATCTCTTATAAATTAAATTACATTAAAATGTACAATTTGAAAATTATGTATTTACACAAGAACTTAACTACTTAATACCTTTATTTTTGTGAACTAGCTGAGTGCAACGATCAGCCTGTCACTGGAAGTTATCCGACACTGTCGTGGTCCCGAGGACGCATTGGACGCTTTTCTATCGGCGTCCACATCGGTAACTAGTATATCGAAACTGCTTCTGCATCGTGTGAATTGGAGGCACAAATTAATTTTGGTGGAATCTATCATCAACGATTGGACTTTCGTGAGAAATCCTTACTCGCGCGATATTATGCTGAAATACTCGCACGTTGGTAGATTGGGTTCCTCGGTGTTCTTTTACTTCGGATGTGCTTCTTGCGTATTTCTCTTCTCACCTCTTATATTCGCCAATCTTGATCTGTTCTCGATCTCGGAAGAGCAGATTTACAACAAAACGAGCGAGAGGAGATTGTTTTTGGCAGCTTATTGCATTTTCGAAAGTTATACATCTGTCGCCTACGCCTACGGCTTCATTGAAGTCCTGCAGGCATTGCAAATCCTCGTCAACTGTATCTCGCAGTGCGGAAACGATGGGTTTTTCTTTGATCTTACGATGCACGTATGTGGACAGTTCGAAGTTCTCAGGATGGAATTCTCTGAAATAGGTAGCAAAGAGCTTCTTAATCGCAACAAACTTGGTATCCTGTTGAAGAAACATCATCGCCTCATATATTTGGCTCATCATCTGCAAAAAGCATTCAGTTTGGTTATCTTATCGCAACTTTTAATGAGCGTGATTTTATTATGCGTTGAAGGTACGTTTTATTTCAAATAAATCTTAACTCAATTCACATTTTTATAAAAGTTTCTAAACAGAGTAATATACTATAGCTACATTATTTAATAACAATTTTTATATTATGTAAAAAATGGAAGACATGAAACAAACGGTTCCTTAACGCCTGCGCTTCTAGTATAGAATGTACAAAAAATGTACAAAATTTGTTAAAACAAGAATTCTTTTAATCCTTTCGTACCTTGTGCCTGATTTTTTTCTTAGAAATAATTAGAATCTAATTCACGTCTTATTAAAAGTTTCTAAGGTTACTTATGATTATAAATGTGTAATCAAAATTTCAAAATTCAAAATGGCGGATTCAATAAAGCGGACCAAAATGTAAAATTTTCTGGAATTCAAATGAAATTCATCCAAGAATTTTTAAGGTTCCTAATTTTGAATCTGTAAAATTATTACAATATTAATTAAATCAAAATTTTAAATCAATATTAATTAAATCAAAATTCAAAACGGCTGAAAATTTTCTTAGATTTAATCCCAATTCCAAAAACCTCTGAACCATGAATTTCATTAAAATCCAACAAAATTTTACATTTTGATCCGCCATATTAAATCTATCATTTTTAAATAGTAATTTTTTTATACATAGACCTTACAATAATACATTGACCTTCAAAATAAGCCCAGAAAGAACGCTCTATTTTAATTTTTGTTAAAGATAAGCATTTTTCATTTTTACCCTATTTTACGAATTTTTGATGAGATATGCAAATCAAGGAGGAAGGAAACTCCCAAGAGTGTTGATTTTTTGGTGAAAAGTCCTATTCTTTATCTTTAAAATGAGTCCAGGAAGAAGTTTCTATTTTTATTTTTGTGGAAGATATGAATTTTTGAAGGTTTGGCACATATATGTGCACGAAAGGGTTAAACTTCCTAAACAGCACACAACAGCAGGTATATCTAAAAGGTTTTTAAGACGTTTTATAATATGATGTCTAAAAGACGTCATTTAGACATCTTATGTCCAATTTTTGGAAACACTTGTGTTGTCCAAAATACTAATAATTAATTGTTGCAGACATATAATTCATTACCGTATGTGTTTCAGGCTTTCAATTAATCCTCACGCTTTCGGTGCACAATACATACGCTGCCATGAAACATCTTCTTTTCATTGTTGTTTTGTTGGTGCAACTTTTTCTCTACTGCTTCGCCGGACAGACATTGGAATTCCAATCGCAAGGACTAGCTTCTGCAATTTATGACTCGCCATGGTACAGTTTTGACGTAAACATAATGAAGAATTTACCACTGATGATTCTTCGAGCAGCTAATCCTCATCGGTTAACCGCAGGAAAGTTTCTAGCAATAAATTTCATAAGCTTTAAGGAAATTCTGAAGGCTTCCGCCTCGTATTTATCAGTATTAAGGGTAATGCTAGAAACGTGAGTAAATTTTAAGAAAGAAATATTTCGTCTCTTTTATCGCGTAATCTTACTTTATACCATCAGAGAGTAATATCTTTTAAAATTGTAATATTTAATAAAACAAAGAAATTATAATAATATACATGTATTTTCTACTAATAGTTATTATCAAGAGTAATTATGTCAATTAAATAATTAATATATTATATTAGAATGAACGGTAGCATTATAATCGTATATATAAGCATATATTTTTATTCATCATACATACTTAGATAAATCTGTTATATTTATTACTATTATTAATATTATTATTTGCAAGCATCGGCAAATGTTAAAAATTAAACTAATTTAAAAAAAGACTTGAAATAAAACCATTTAATTTATTATCATTCAAGACAATCGTCATTAGTGTGTTGTTTAATCAAATAATACAAACTTTAATCAATGATTGCTTTTTTTACGTTTTCTACACTTTAAAGGAAAAAAAAAGGAAAAAAATACACAATTAAAGATATAACTAAAAAAATTAAAATTTTTCTTATTTTGTCGTAAATTTGTTTTCAATATTTCTAACATTCTGACAGATACTGTAAGTTCTATGCGTCATGTCGTTGTTTAGATCAACTCATTCGTAAATATCGATTCGGACTGACAAAGTTCGTAAACATCGAAAATTGTGCACATTATGGCAAAACATGGACGTTACAAAATGTACGATCATACAAAATTATAGCGCTACTTATCTTACCACCATAAAAACCGATCGATGAACAAGTGATACGTCCGACTATAGTAATTCCTGTCGAAGCCATACATTGCATAAATTGAACAACATTTCATGCATGACATCATCACAATTTTCTTGAGTTCGAAACTAGCATGTCGCCGGGCACGAAGACAAATTGGAACAGTGGCATGGACTATGGTTTCTCAGTGATAAGGGCGACGATGTGGATAGTCGGTGTATGGCCTTTGCAGCAGGACGATATAGTTTGCACATTTCGTTGGATTATCATATTCATTGCGGAGGTAAGCCAAGAGATAGCGTGAAATGTAAAATTAGTTTTCTTTTTTAAATGTAGAATACGAGTGCGACAAATATCCACGTATACAAATTTTGTACTGCAAGTCAACATATTTATATAATTATAATTTAAGTAATAACTAATCTTGTGGAGTTTCATAGGTAATTAAGTTTTTTAAGAAATTATGAAACTTTTAATTAATCTCATATATTTAACTAAATTAAATTTATTTTTGTTTATTATTATTTATTATATTAATTATATATTTAATTTATCAAGAATCTTGTACAATCTAATTTATATTTATCTATAAAACGTTGAATCTTTGCTATTGTACAGTCTCTCACAGTGATCGGCCTGCTGATAGAGCCTTTAAAAAACTGCGGTGACACCAAAGACGCTCTAGAGGTTTTTCTTATAATAGAGACCGGCTTCCATTCGTGGATAAATGTCGTTTTTGCACGTATTCACATGAAAAAGATTGCCGTCAATGTGACGTCTGCAATCGACGATTGGTCGTCCTCGTCGCCGGAGAAACAGTCTTATCGAATAATGACGGGATATGCACGAATAGGTCGAGTGATCGCTGTGTCCCAATTGATGATTGGATTTATAGCTGCTGTCGTCTACTTTTCCAGTATTTTCATCGCAAATCAAAAACAGGTGATGTTTTATTTGTGTTATATACAAATTGTTATTATTATTATATTACATTGTGATTAATTTATATTAAACTATACATGTGTGTGTGTGTGTGTGTAAATTATTCTCATTAATCGTTATTTTATTTATATATATATATATATATATATATATATAAAATAACGATTAATGAGAATAATTTAATTTAATATACATATATATATATATATAGTGATTAAATTAAGATTAATTTGTACAAATTTGTCAAATACTTATAAAGAATATTAAGATTGGTAAATGGTATATTAAAAAATTAATCACTTAATAAAAAATAAAATTCCACGGGAGTGTTGCTATAATATTTTCTCGATAAATATTGCATTTTAATTTATTTGTTATGCAATTGAAAAATTAAATAACAACTTGAGATATTTTAATAGGTCATAATTGTTGGTAATGAGACAGTTACTTTATGGAATTTCGTCATTCCGTCGACATGCCTGTTCGAAGGGATTTCATATTCTACATACAAAGCACTTTTCCTCATGCAAATATTACAGGCGTTCATACTCTACGTAGCAGAATGCGCAAACGATAGCTTCTTCTTTGCTATTACAATGCATCTCTGCGGTCAATTAGAGCTTCTGAGGATTCGCTTTGTTGAACTTCTTGGAGGAAAAATCGATGAGAGGAATCATTACCGCAGCATATTGGGTTTTTGGATTAGAAGGCATTACAAATTGATAATACTGGCTAGAAATATTGAAGACACCTTTAATCTCAATATCTTAATTCGGTTGGTAGTAACTACCGTTGTCATTGCGGTTTCAGGTATTTATTTATCATAATCCCATTCCATTTTTTTTATTACTAATAACATTTTTTACAATTTATTAAAATACAACATTAAATCTTTTTATAAAAATAGATTTACAGAAATTTGAATAATAATGTCAAAACTTATCAAAGTCCTCATATATTACAATAAATTGTCTTGAAACAACGAATAAGAGAAAAAGAATTAAATAAAAGTATTAAAATATTTAATATCAATATACATATTAAAATAAAGTATCAATTATACATCTTAGTGCAGGAAGTGCATTCAGAAAGAAAATAGAAAAATGTTAATTTCAGGAATGCGTATGATTGTGTCTATTAAGCATTACGATTTTATTAATGTAGTGAAAAGCATGATCTTCGTTCAATTCTTTATCGTACAATCCTTCTTGTTCACGCACGCCGGCGAAACCCTACAGAAACAGAGCGAATCGATCGTTTCGGCAATATACAACACAACGTGGCACAAATTGCCGCCCACCATGGTGAAGGATTTGATATTTATTATGATGAGGACGAAGGTCCCTCTTCAACTCACTGCTGGAAAATTTTTTTATATTACTCGAAGCACTACGACAGATATTCTGAAAGCTGCTTTGACATATATATCGTTTTTACAGGTGAAAATGGAAGAATAATCCAATTATCATATTTGAAATTGTTTGTTTATTACATCATACAACATGTAGATAATACCGTGTAGATAAATAAAATAGAATATATTTATATATTTTAGTAAATTGCAGTTTCTTTAATTGTACTTGTATTTTGCTTTTAGTTCTTCAACATTTGCGACAAAGAAATGTCAATATTATGCTTATTAAAAAAATGTGTTACACTTTTTCACTGCTTCAAATAAGATGAAATTTTAATTACTTATTGGCAGAATACGTACAAATATTTTTTAAGTTAAATATATATAATTTTTATACACAAAAGACTATTACATATTTGTAGTATTTATGTGTAAAATAATTAGGTAGTAAAATAAATAAATACCAATTACAAAACATCGTAGATTTATATTTATCTGTAAATTGCTATATCTATATCTATAAAAAGTACAATCTAAAATGTGCAATTATAATTATATACATTTCTTGATTTTAAACGATAATATTATTCTTATACGATTTATTTTAGATTAATGAATTAATTAAATAAAAAATATTTAAAGTAATGTATGCATTAACAACTGTAATGCTGAGTAACAAAACTTATTACGTCTGTATATTTTTTATTTGTTGTTTGTAGAATCAAAAAAATATTTCAAGATTACTCACATTCTCAAATTTGAAGGGAATTGGCTGCACAGACGTATGCCGATGTGTCATCATTGTCAAATACTACAACAGCGTGAAGTACACATGACTTTATCAGCTATAGAAAAAAATAAAGTACGTTATTGTCTTGTTATCAACAAAATTCGAAATATCGAGTGTTTCTACTGAAAACTAAAGACATTTATCACATGGGTTTTTTATATTATATATTATCAGTCGATCGAACTTCCGTGGTGATCTCTCTCTTATCTATAGGTAGACATTATTTCAAAAGATATCGAATAACATATGCGCTATATGTTTCTCGGAAAAAGAATAAATTGCATGGATCGTAAATTCTGCTTACCGATATTTTTTATGCACGCTAGACAATTCAAGGGACATCGTGGTGGATTGTAAGGCTATTGCAATAATACGGTGATCGAGCAATTTGCCGCCGAGCAAATATCTGGGGGATCTTTAAACATGCATATACTCTGAGGCGCGTGAGTAATTCAATGCTTCTACGTTTTCGCGATCAATAGTTGCAGGATAAGAGAAGCGTTAGGATGGATGAAGAAGAGATGTTACATGTACGAGCACCGTAGTGCTGTCAGCGTAGCAAATCGAGCAATTAATGAAGATAATATTAATGCATAATTACTCTGTCATGGGCTATTAAAGATGTACACTTACGCGATTAGATTGGAATCTCTTTGTGATGCACTTCGAGAATGGTGTACTGGAACAAGGATGCTATTTACGCATTGTCAAGTTACAAAATTTTGGCATGGCCTGTAGGAGTATGGCCAATTGATAATGATATCTTTTATTCAAAGATACGTTACTTGTTTGTAATGATAAGCGAGGTAAGAAAAACTTTTATTTTGAAATACATACATTAGGGTGGGCCAAAAAAAATTTTTTTTGAAAATCGATTAGTAATACCCCCTAAAAGTTAGCTATGGACCTTAAAGTAGTTTGGGTATAATTTCATCGAAATCGATTAATATCAACAGATTGCTCCTTGACCTTGCAATGAGTAAGTTTATGCATTTCTTCATATAAATGTGTCAAAATTCGAAAAAATATTTGAATTTCAATACAGTTTAGTATTATCTGTTGTTTTTTTGGTCACTGAACACGAATCCGAGGTCAGAGGTATACAAATGACGGATCCGAAATAATACATTAAGATTTCTCGAAAAATATAATAGATATGGAAAAATGCTTCAAATAAAAATTGTACGGTTCGGAAAGGTACAGAAATGTAAGAAATGTAAAAAAAAATGTTTCTAAAGAAAAAAACATTAGAAAAAAAACGTGTTTTATTTTATTGAAAAAATACAAATTTGGTTTTTTTTCTAATTTCGATAGCACGACTAATAAATTGTAAATAGTAATTATATAATTATATAATTAATTTCAATCTATTAATTTATAATCTACATTTAACTTTTACAAAAGGAGAATCTTTTTAATTCTTTTTTTAAACAGTTTTTCCTTAAGTAGAATTTATTATAATTATTCATTGAAATCTTTGCTTCAAAATATGTTTAAAAATCAATATATTGGCTTTCTCATTCTGCATAAAGGTTAAAATGATGATAATTTAAATCTACTATCTACAAAATAAAAAATCATGAAAAATTAACGTATATCAAGTAAAATATAAATATTAAATGGATAGCTGAAGAAAAAACAAAATTTTTTTAGAAAAAAACAAGGCTTGTTTTTTTTAAGAAAAACATATTTTATGAAAAAAACAATTTGGTGTTTTTCTATTTACATTTCTAGGAAGGTACATAAGAAAATATCATTCATTTTATTTTAAATGGCGTCGTTAAGATCAGATCGATTTTTTTAAACAAAATTATATATTTTTTTACATAATACGATTTCTTTAATTATTCTGCATATAAAAGTATTAAAGTAAAGTTATCGAAAAATCTTTTACGAGATATTTTACGAGAAGTATTTTACGAAATATTTTATGAGATATTTTATACTTTATTATAGATCGGAAGAGCACACG